GCACCGTAGACTCACGGCGTAGCCCGAAGCTTTGCGCCGTAGCCTCGCACCCATTCGAGGCTAAGGTCCGAGCCTGGAGCCTGGAAGTTGCGGAGGCGGCTCAAGAGAATTATTTGTTGAATTTGTCCAGCGTTCCTCAGATTCCTCCCTCACATGCAGAGACCTTTGGGAGAAGAATGGCTCATATGCAAATGGCGCCACAGTATGGAGCAGAAGTTTCCCACAAGCGCGGTGTGAAAAGGCGCTCCCTCCCCATGCCGGGCTCCTCAATGGGCCTTTTATTCCGCCGCTGCAGTGGATGGAGCTAGAGCAGGCCAACTGCAAAGGTAGCTAGGCTCTCTCGCTCTAAAGCCCGGCCACACAATGCACTATTTAAGCATTCAGGCGCACACAGCCCAATAAAGCACATCCCAGCGCAGTTAAGGGGGCGACTGAAACTGACTCAAGCCTTTAACGGCACCTTTTTATAGGCTAATGTCCCCCGCCACCATGGGAGCTAATCATTAAGCTGCTTTAGCCCCAGCTCGTACATCACTTCATTTGGATTCTGCCCCACGGCCGCAACCGGGACGGGGCTGTTCCACGGAGCGCGGCGGACCTGCGGGACAATGGGGCTCCGCTGGGAACACTTCTGCTCTAACAGGCTCTGTGTTCGGGAAGTTGGATGTTGAAAATCCTCTTTTTAAGTTTGAGATTTGGACCGAGTTGCCTTGTTCCCACAGCACTTTACAGTCTGGGGGGCTTGGGCTTCAGCGGGAGACATTTGCCAGAGAAAATAATCGATCGTGTGCACAAAGGTGATCAGCTTTAGTGACAAGTATCTCAAGAGCTAACGGAAACTTTTGAAATAGATGTGTCCTCTGCATTTAACCCATCCTTCAGTACCTCTCAGGTTGCCGTAGTAACAGGGACCCATCTTCAGATGTTGACGCTCTTGGACAGGACCAGAGCAGGAGGGACTTATCTATTGTACATGTTTTAAATTGTAGTGAAAACCTGGAGCACCTGGAGGAAACCTACACAAACAAAGGGAGAAAATGACCACTCAGAAAGGCTGACCGGGATTCGAAGCCAGGACCTTCTAGCAGAGCGGCGAGACCACTTTAAAAACTTCTATCAAAACTAATTTAAAAAAACTAATTATAGGGTTAGTGTGAGAAATGGTTAGAAGGGTTAAAAAACTATTATTTCCTGAAGAACATATCATAAACACACGGATAAAAATTGTTGGATAACTCGCCTCGAACAGCTAATCAGCTCTCAGCCCAAAGAGTCAAATAGTGACTCAAATACTGACTTACTGTATTCTATTAATGCAATGTGTCTTGTTTTCGAAGTTCTGTGTCCACAATACAATTTGTGGGAAGAAAACTCATTAAATAATGCATGTTTTTAAATATTTTATATGGACACTCAAAGATGCTTCATAGGTCATTATTCTTTCACTTCTTACAGTGGTTGATAAACTACTACTGTAGCCCCAGCTGCCCTGACAGAAGCGAGGCAACCAGTATGTGCCATTGGCCCCTCCCACCACCACCAACCATTCACACACACACCAGACTCATTCTAATGGGGGTGAAGTGTCTTGCCTATAGAACACTACAACAGTTTGGCACTTTACAGCCGCAGCCGCCCCACTGTGGCACCTGGTGTTCTCAGAGGTCTCCCATCACAGTACTATCTCAGCCCTGTCCTGCTTAGCTTCAGAGCTCTGACGGGATCTGACTTTCACACTGACTTCAACACAAAAAAAGTTGAGCCCTCAAACTTTAAAATCACCAAAGTGCATTTATGTCATCCATCCATTCACTTTCTTCCACTTCATCTGGAGCCTGATTGTAAAAGCAGTCTTCCACAACCCAACCCCATTAGGGTGCTTTCACACCTGTTGGTCCACTAAACGAGTTCTCTTGGGTCCTAAAGTTGTGACAATGTTGCAGTTCTCAACTAGTTCGGTTCTCATTCACATCAGTGTTTTTGCTCCATAAGGTGGTCTCGGTGCGGTTCTTTATCCCGGACCAAATTTAACTGGTCCACTTTCACACCTGCTCAAACGAACCGTACTTGCAGGTGTTCCAGACTCCAGTCCGCTTTAAGTGGACTAAATGGTGCAGGTGTGAAAGCACCCTTACACTCAGTCACATCATTTAAATAGATCAAAATGAAGTTCGAAATGTCCTTCTGCTTATTCCCCTGGAGTCAAACCAAAGCAAACACAAAGTCAACACACTTTCCCCTTGTTGTGTGCTTTGTTGTATTTTTTGTTGTGTTTTGTTGCTGAATTGTCGCGTCTGTGCAGTATTTGGCACCTACGCTACAAGTGCCTGTCCCTGATAACGGCATAGAGCAGCTGCAGAGTGTGTGTTTGCGCGTGTGTGTGCGTGCGTGTGTGTGTGTGTGTGTGCGTGTGTGTGTGTGTGCGTGTGTGTGTTTGTGCGTGTGTGTGTGTGTGTGTGTGTATGCGTGTCATCTGCCTGCGCTCGTCACCTGTCGTAAATCTCTTCTTTTGGTCACCTCTTTTGCCCAGTCCCTCACCCCTCACCCCACTCCCACCACCCAGGGGAGTGGGGGAGTGGGGAGTGGGGGGTGAGGGGTTGAAAAGAAAAAATCCTCCTCTTATTCCTCATTGAGCGGCAGAAACGCAAACACAATTGGACGCGCTATAGGGTGGACAATGGCAGGGGAAAGTGAAGTCATGGGCCGAGTCACACAAGGCCGACGTACGGTGTGTAGTCTGTTAAAGAAGACATTATTCATTCTGTTTGGCCTTTAATAATAATAATATTGAGACTATTTACTTTGTTATTTCATGTTTGAGAATGTGAAATAATATCTGCTGTGGAAAATAATTGTTGATGTACGAAGTACGAGCTGAATTTGATTGATTTAGATATATTTTTATGAACAAAGTGAGTCCTGCTGCTTGGATTGAGACAAACGCAATGAGGTTTTGTATTGTAGACTGAGTTTAATAAAGTTTACTTTGAATTACTCCTTATTGCGTTTAGGGTTCAATATTTATGGCAATATAAGTTCTCTGGTAGTTATCTTGATAGATTTAGCTTTAAAACGATGTATAACTTATTAGTCCAGACTCTATAAGAGCTGCACTGACATTAAAGTTTGATGTCCAGTTGGGGGCCACAAAATACATTTTCGTGGGCCGCAAATGGCTCGTGGGCCGCGTGTTTGAGACCACAATTCTTAACCTATTTGTAAAGAAATTCCACTGTGAACGCTTTTGAACAGACCCATGACCCAAATGTGTGTCTCTACATAAAACCAATCTTAAATCCAGCAGTGACATCATCAGGACAGACCCTCGGCTGGTCCCTGAGACCTCTGCTGTCCCGGTGCCATGGGACACTCCTCACAAACTGAGGTGGCAAATACTCCAGCCGGGATGTTCTGAATGACCAGCCCTGTCGCACCCAGGCCAAAGGGAAACTTCTCATTTACCTCCTGCTTAAGCCTCCTCTCCCATGCCCACAGAGCAAACAGACCGAGTGTGACATCACCATAGTCTTAGCTCTCATACGGAAGAAGCCGATTTGAACATAAGCTAGCTGGAGCCAATTTCTTTAAATGGGCATTTTTTTTGCAGCGTTTGTGTTGTAAAAGGGGCAGACGTGATGCTAAGACTGTTTCTAAGTGTTGCTAAGACTGTTGCTAAGTGTTGCTGAGACTGTTGCTAAGTGTTGCTAAGTGTTGTTAAGTGTTGCTAAGACTGTTGCTAAGGCTGTTGCTAAGTGTTGCTAAGACTGTTGCTAAGTGTTGCTAAGACTGTTGCTAAGACTGTTGCTAAGTCTGTTGCTAAGACTGTTGCTAAGTGTTGCTGAGACTGTTGCTAAGACTGTTGCTAAGACTGTTGCTAAGTGTTGCAAAGGCTGTTGCTAAGTATTGCAAAGGCTGTTGATAAGTGTTGCTAAGACTGTTACCAAGTGTGGCTAAGACTGTTGCTAAGGCTGTTGCTAAGTGTTGCTAAGACTGTTGCTAAGGTTGTTGCTAAGACTGTTGCTAAGTGTTGCAAAGGCTGTTGCTAAGTATTGCAAAGGCTGTTGATAAGTGTTGCTAAGACTGTTACCAAGTGTGGCTAAGACTGTTGCTAAGGCTGTTGCTAAGTGTTGCTAAGACTGTTGCTAAGGTTGTTGCTAAGACTGTTGCTAAGTGTTGCAAAGACTGTTGCTAAGTATTGCAAAGGCTGTTGATAAGTGTTGCTAAGACTGTTACCAAGTGTGGCTAAGACTGTTGCTAAGGCTGTTGCTAAGACTGTTGCTAAGACTGTTACCAAGTGTGGCTAAGACTGTTGCTAAGGCTGTTGCTAAGTGTTGCTAAGACTGTTGCTAAGGTTGTTGCTAAGACTGTTGCTAAGTGTTGCAAAGGCTGTTGCTAAGTATTGCAAAGGCTGTTGATAAGTGTTGCTAAGACTGTTACCAAGTGTGGCTAAGACTGTTGCTAAGGCTGTTGCTAAGACTGTTGCTAAGACTGTTACCAAGTGTGGCTAAGACTGTTGCTAAGTGTTGCTAAGTGTTGCCAAGGCTGTTGCCAGGTATGGAATCTGACCTCCATGTTTTAGGACAACCATGAAGAATATTCAAACCCTGCAGTAAGATTTAAGGCCATAGAGACCTCTGTTATATTTGTATTGTAGCATCAACTAAGTAAGTGTCAATATTTTAAGAAATGGTGTCTCTCTTCTCACATGGTCCTGACGCACATTGCTACACATCATAGAAAAGGCTTTGTCTTCTTTGCTTCTGTCTGAAAATAACTGGGAAATAAAGTGAGGGTTACAAGTGTGTGAGATCGCTGCTGCCTCAGTCTCATTTCTCGAGATAAGGCTGGAGTTTCCCTCGTGAATGAAGGCATCTGATTGGTCAAATTTGATATGGCTCCAATCTGGATTTACAAAGACAATATCACAATATAGACACCAGGATCACAGAGAGCGATAAACCACAGATTTAAGCCCAAAATGACACAAACGGATATTGAGCTAGAGGACTTTACTTTTACATGTAAGTCATTAGAAGCCAGAGCCAGTCGGAAGCCAAACTCTGTCCATGAGCACTTCTCTACTGGGCTTCATTGAGCTAGCTGACTACGCGTTGTCCATCTATAACCGAATTGACTGAGGCTGTGATTTGCTTCTGCGGCCTTGAGTCATGAGATACGGGGAATGAGCAGCAACAGCAGAGCGTGACATTGTTAAGGTAATGTGTTTAATGAAAGCCTCAGCAGGAAGCAGCAGGAAGCAGCAGGAAGCAGCAGGAAGCAGCAGGGCCAGTGTTTCCCCCGGCGCCTGACTCCTGCGACTCCATCCCCTTTAAACACGACTATAAACAAGCTCTTTAACGTGGGGACTGCGCACTCGCTGCCAAAGCTGCACCAGAGCACACACACAGTCCTTTTTCACCCAGAGAGCTATTTTCCCGGGACGATAAAGGCAGAGAGCTACTGATTTAAGTCTGGGAAAATATTGGTGATATATTGGTTTGAAAAAGCCTGATATCGGGTACAGTTATTATCTATCATCGCAAATGTGATACTAGTGACAAAGTAAGTGTATTTACGATAATAAATTATGAAATAAATATTACAATCTGAACACTAACACTGTGAAGCTACTGTTAATGCTAACTCGGCTAAAGCTAACAAAGCTAAAGCTAACAAAGCTAAAGCTAACAAGACGACAATAACAACAAGCCTGAATCAGTGTTTCAGAAATAATATATGTATCATATTCTATACATGTTAAAAAGCAAAAACAAAAGCACAGTCTCCAGAGTCAGGACTAAACATGAAGACGCAGCATTTCAGATTTATGCAGCCTGCCTGTCTCAGATTTCCTGAAAATGTGAGACAGGCTTCTACTCTGACAATGTTCAAATCCAGCTTTGTTTTGTATCTTCACTCTTCGAAGTAATTATAGTACTTATTATTACTATAATGATAATAGTAATCATTTGTTCTACTCTTTATGTAACTTATCATTACCATGCCAAAATGCCAAAGTAAATATTCACAAGATCATGATTAAAAGCCAAAACAAACGTTAAAGTGAGGTACATAAAAAGTATGGACCTTTGCGAGACTTGACCTAGATGTTAGTAACCAGGACTTTGACCAGAACCCAACTCTTGCCCCGGTCTCACCTGGTCCTAAACGTGCCCTTTAAAGCTGCTCCTCGTGCCGTGTTTATTTTGGCCTGGGCCGAATGTTACCGCGGCGCGCATTCCTCTATCCCCAGATTGCTGCGTAGGATTACCAGGGGTGCGGAGGAGGAGAGCCCAGGACTGGACCACGGGGGGGGGGGTTGTTGGGGGGTTGTTGAAGGGGGTCCGATTGGGAACACCTGTCGTCCCGTTCACACCTCCCTGTTTACAGCCCAGAGAGGACATTACTGACTTTACTACGCCACATTTTCAGCACACGCAAAATACGCAAGCGGCATTAAAGGTACGTGCGTCGGGACGGTGGAACGATCCCGGACAAAAGGACAGGAACTGGACTGACCCGAGCCAAAAGGGAAAACCCTGAGACTCACGTGGAGAAGCTGCAGTGATTGTGCTATTCTCCGCTGATTAAAACATATCCTGAATAAAACAATGTCGGGTGAATTTTGTTTTAATATTTGCAAACTTGACCAGACCTTTTTAAACCTACATTTATATTTGTATTCTTCTTTTAATTGGTCAAAAAAGTTACCGATATATATCTGTCTGAGACTACTTCCTTCCTCAAAGTCTCATTCAAGGCTCTACTCTACTCTACTCTACTCTACTCTACTCTACTCTACTCTACTCTACTCTACTCTACTCTACTCTACTCTACTCTACTCTACTCTACTCTACTCTGATTGTGGCAAATGAAAACTGTAAAACTGTATGTAAACATTTGCTTCATTCATGTTGGAAATGGCTCAAACTCAAGACAAAAGTGAGGAAACTGAGGATTACGGACGAATGTGAAAGAGCAGCACATCTGTCAGGACCAGGGGGGACTTCGAATAACAATGGATCCAGGTTTCTCACAAATCACAGAAAAAACACCAAAGTTCTGGAGCTGCGAGGAGAGAAAGAGGCAGAAGAAGAAGTGAAAGAGGAAGAGGAGCAGAAGAAGAAGAGGGAGAAGAAGAAGAAGGAGGAGGAGAAGAAGAAGGAGGAGGAGTAGAAGAGGAAGAGGGAGAAGAAGAAGGAGGAGGAGGAGAAGAAAAGGGAGAAGAAGAAGGAGGAGGAGGAGGAGAAGAAGAAGGAGGAAGAGGAGGAGGAGGAGGAGAAGAAGAAGGAGGAAGAGGAGGAGGAGGAGGAGAAGAAGAAGGAGGAAGAGGAGGAGGAGGAGGAGAAGAAGGAGGAGGAGGAGGAGAAGAAGAAGGAGGAAGAGGAGGAGGAGAAGAAGAAGGAGGAGGAGGAGGAGGAGAAGAAGAAGGAGGAAGAGGAGGAGGAGGAGGAGAAGAAGAAGGAGGAGGAGACAGTGGGGATGGTGTGTTCAGGGTGATGAGCTGTGTTGCTTTTACGCCAAACATATCGTTTTGCATTGTGGCCAAAAAGTTTGATTTTGGTTTCATCTGACCAGAGCACCTTCTTCCACATGTTTGGTGTGTCTCCCAGGTGGCTTGTGGCAAACTTTAAACCAGACTTTTTATGGATATCTTTGAGAAATGGCTTTCTTCTTGCCACTCTTCCATAAAGGCCAGATTTGTGCAGTGCACGACTGATTGTTGTCCTATGGACAGACTCTCCCACCTCAGCTGTAGTTATCTGCAGTTCATCCAGAGTGATCATGGGCCTCTTGACTGCATCTCTGATCAGTCTCAGACACGGGGAGAACATGCAAACTCCACTCAACCGGAATTCGAACCCAGGACCTTCTTCCTGAGAGGCGAGAGTGCTATCCACTCAGCCATCGAGCCGCCCTATATATAAGATTAAGATTAAGATTTATTGGTCCCACATTGGAGAAATTTCAGTGTTGCGTCACAAGTTATAGAACAGTAGGAAAGAGGAGCACACGGCACACGATAAGTGAACAATAGCTATACTAATTAAAATAAAACAATCTCTAACTCTAGCATCAATAACAAGTATAAAATCTCTATCTTGAAAGTAATAATAATTTGTGGAGTTAGTTTAGTAAGTTCCATGTATTTCAAATTTGCTGAACACAATTTCACATACAGTATATTTACACTAATACAGGTTTGAGTAATGAGTGTGTGTAAAAATTGTTTCACAATATGCAGTTTCTTCATTTCAACACAATATTGAGTAGAATTTACTCTTATTATGTATTAATTTATTTCACAGGGACAAGGTAGAATGATTAGCAATGATTTAAACAGTACACATAAGTTTTTAAGATAACATTGATAATATTAACGTTGTGTAGAAAGGCCCAACCAACTTTGCAAGTCAACATAGAACAAAACAAGCTTGTAACTGATGTGATGTAAAAGGAGTTTATGGATATTGGTCATTTTCAACTCCAGTCCCCGGTTGGACCGTTCTACACAACATTAAAATTATCAATATTTTCTTAAAAACATAGCGTACTGTTTAAATCATTTACACACAAACTCAATGCTATTTACAAATTTACAAATGGGCACAATTCTGTTTCGAAATCAGCCGGGACTTAAAGGTGCAGTTAGCGATGCTGTTAGCTTAGCCGTAGCACCAACTGGAAACCGCTCCCCCCTCCCCTCCCTCTCCACCAAACCAAACATCCAGCATTTTATTTTCTTTGTCACAACAGGAGGAGTGGGTTGGCAATTTCTGTTCAGCCATTTAGGTTTTAGAAAATCCGATAACAGGAAGACGGTGAAGGGGATGAACGAATCCCATTGGTCTATTTGTATCGGTCTGCTCCAAAATAAACATCTGGTCAATTCCATTACTATTTGAAAACACATGATAACTTGATACTTTTAGGGTTTAGGGACGTTTTCCCACAATATTTTTTTAAAAATGCATCTGGAAAAAACTTGAGAAGTGAACCTTTTTAACTCAGTCATGGTTTTAAAATCAGGTGGTAATGAGTTCCACAACTATAACCGAAGACAACATTTGACCCTGATCTCGGGTGGGACCAAATATAATCTGAAACAGTGTCAAGTTCAACTCTATAGGACTCACATAAACGTCTGGTGCACACTGGGGCAGTCTTGCACAGTTTTTCCAATGTGGTTTTACTGCAAATGGCAAATACATTTATCTGACCCTGAATCTGTTTTTTATAGTGTATATCAGTTTTCTCTTACTGTCAAATGAGCTTCTCCTCAACCAAAATGATTTTAAATGTTGAAATGATCATTATTTATGTATTCCCCTCCTGTGGTGTCTGCAAACAAAGTTACTCTTAAGTTTTTGAATTGAATGATTAATAATTTCATAAAAACAACATTGAATAGGGTTCACCTGGTGTCCAAATGGTGGAACTGCACCTTCAATGCTCTCACTCTCGGACCAGTGTGATGCAGCAGTTTTTCCGCCTCCGTCACAGTTTTAGATCAGCTCTTTTTTAGACACAAAAGTTGAAGGAGAGATACCACCCTCGCTCAGCCAATCAGCTCTCGGCCCAAAGCCTCATGCATTAACTCAGAAGATGTTAAATGCAGAAGATGGCATGTTTTCTAAGAAGAGGAACCAGTGCGAAGGCTAAAAGTACTATCAAAACCAAAACTACACATAGTACAAAATAAAACGATGAATTAAAGTGAAGTGGTTCAACAGTAAATCCCAATCAGTGCTTTAATGTCTTGTGACACAATGAAAAGTAGTTCCGACAGCGTCCAACATTGGTATATTATAAAGCAGGGGTCTCCAACATTTTTCCTTGGAGAGCTTTCTCGGGACAACACTGGCAGAGAGCTACTCCTTTTAGACGGTCGACAAAATGTGCTACAATGGTTTGAGTCGTTTTTTTTTCTTGATCTTGATTTGACATTTACATTTACATGTTCTATTGGAAAATCTGGTTTTCAGACCGTCAAAGTGTTCTCTGATCCATTGACAGTTGAATTTGGGCAGTTTTTTACCATTTTTGTGTGGCATTCGTTGTGTAGTGGTATAGCCATCAAAGAATCTGTCAATCATATTTTATATCTACTCATAAAATCATCTTTTTGGGAGCTACTTTGAAGAGGGTGGAGAGCTATAGGTTGGAGATCCATGCTATAAAGACATAAGAAATATTATAATTGTTTGTTGCCGAAACAATAACGTGAAGTCGCTCGGTTAAAAATGAGACAAAAAAGCCTCTCATAAAGTATGTAAAACCATCAAAGTATTATCAGGGTCATCGGAGAAGCTGTAGCCGAATCTAAACCTATAGATACGAGAAAATTACACAAAATTATTTAAAATGCGGTACAACAAAAATTACTAGTCATTTGTACTTTTTAAAAACAAAATAGAATTGGTTTTGAGTAACTGCATCGGTATCGGAAAGAGTATTATTAAAGAGTATATATTAGAATGGGAAAACACCATAAAGGGGACGCGTGTAAACAAGACAAAAAGATTACGAGATTATTTATTCGTCGAAATTTCAGTGTTGCATCACCAGTCACAGAGCAGTAAGGAATGAGTAGCACACAGCACAAGATAAAAAACAAAACAAAAAACGGCAACAAACTTTAGCATAATAAAGAAGCAAGTTAAATATCTCCGACTCATCTATAGCCTCTCAAAACTACTCAAATTGATCCATAAGGAGAATTATGAAAACACAAGAGCTCAGGCGACTCAAACGGACAAAAAAACAACAACCAGAAACCAGTATTTGCTGGCTATTTGTAAGCAGCCCCAATCCTCCCAGCGCACATTCTTGTTTGGACTGCTAAACAAAACATTATCAACCAACGCTGGCATTTCCTGCGCGCGCAACACACAGAAGAAGAGCTCTATCCTGGCGTCAAATGGGACAGAAGCTGAGGCTAGACCACGAAGAAGAAGAAGAATATGTAGAGAAACAGTGACAAACAATCACAAGACATCAGCAGCAGCAGTAAGAGCAACAGCAGGAGCAGCAGGAGGAGGAGGAGGAGGAGGAGGAGGAGTGAGCTGAATCCATATAGCGGTCCACAGCGCACTCCTGCCCCGGGATATGCAGTCCTTATACGGGCTGTCCTGCCTCGTCCACCGGAACAGCACTTGCCCAGTCGGTGTTTTACCAAGCTTTCAGCCCTGATCCACAGATTTCCGAGCGCACTTTCAGCTTAAATCCTCAAATCTCAACCCAAAAAAACCACGCGGAGAACAACTTTGGAACAACCAGGGGGGGTAGAGCAGGGTCTCCGGCACTATACGCGACTAAAACGCAAAATATAGAAGCAGAAGAAGGTTATTTTATATGTGTATAAGTGCAGCAGCAACAGTGTTCGGGCTATACCTGCTTTACGTGACCACGGAGAGGAGCGAGATACGTGCGTAATTTGGATAAAAACAACATAAAACCTCGCATGGGAAAGACTTAATCACAGCGTGGATACAAGTGTTGGGTGTTGTACGTGCTTGGAGAGATACACACTGTGCTGTGCGTGTCTTATATGTGTCGTTTTGTAATAAAAGCGACGTCAAATCAGTGTGAATGATGTGATTAATGCGAGCGTAAAGTTCCATAGAGGCACATTTCGCACGGGAGCGCGACTTGAACACGTTCCAAGTCCTTTAACAGACACAAATGATGACTTGCCAGCACTTTGACTCCACATAGTTGTCTCAATCATGTCCCAAAACGGCTTACATTCACATACATGTCAAAAGGAGTGCACTCCGACCCCAGCGTGGTCAGTTTGAACATAGAAAACAGGGTCAAAACATGGTCAAAACAGTGTAAAAACAGGGTAAAAGCAGGGTGTGTGGGGCAAATAAAGTGGTTGGAAGTGGTTGGGGCGAGCCGCGTGTGTCTCAGTGCGTCTCTACATAACGGTCCCTCGTGTGGTCGCCCAGGTATAAAGCAGATAACGGTCCCCTCTGTGGGACTGCATGCCCTCTTCCAAGCCCCGTACTTCCCAGCACTTCTCAGCCGAGCCACAGTGCCATCTCCCCGGGTAAAGCAAGACGGATGAAACTCCGTGGTTACTCACCGTGGTTCCTCCGCGGGTTCGCCTGCTTTCTGCGCTTACACCTGGGGCCATCCGCCATGATCCTTTCGCTGTGTCTAAATGCAGCAGCCAGTCACCTCCTCTCTCAGGCAGCCCATCTCCCCCACCACCACCACCACCTCCACCTCCACCTCCCTCCCCTTCCCTGGCTGCACCTGGCTCAGCGCACCGCCAGTGGTGTGTGTGTGCGTGTGAGAGGAGCCGATCCGAGGAGCCCAGAGACAGGGTCAGAGTGAGGGGAGAGGCTGGGGCTGTCCCGGGGAGCTGGAGCCCGTGTATGTTCCAGGGTAAAAAAGTGTTTGAAAAGAGGCTGTAGTCCACCCGTGAGCTCCTGCAGGACTTTTGCGCACACGGAGATAAAGGTGTAGAACGGAGAAGTGTGCGCCTGCTG